CACATTGAATCACTTTTTGAGAAGTGTGGATTGGATTTGTATGGCCAGGTTTTGGTAGTCAAAGGGCTACAGGGGTGGCTTCTGTGAGAAGCTGCCAGAAGTTTCCCCTATGTGGTAGTGCCTCGGAGATAATAGATTTTAAAAGGGGGGGAGGAGTTATTAAATGCTATCAATGAAAAAAACAGCTGCAAAATTATTCAAAAAAGGTGAAAAAATTGAAGTGTGTTAAACTAGTAAGGTAGCATGATTAAGATTTACAAAATTAATTTGGTTTTGTATGTATTTTCGTAGCATGTGTGTTTGGACTCAGCCAAAGTAGAAACTGATGCAGTAAGTCTTTGAGATAATGCCTTAAATACTTGGAGCTAATGAAATGCCACAGGGTGCACAAAAAAGATTTTCTTCTGACTGTAGCTGTTTACATCATCTAAATGCAGGATCAGCTCAAAACTGTGAATCACCCCGAATTCAAGGAGACAGAAATAATCCAGTGGGATGAGTATGCAGTTATTTTGCTTCCACTGAAGTGGAGGTGCCAAGCTGATCACCCATCTGCTCACAACGGGACAGCAGCAGCTCAAACTCTGGCAGAATCATACCTACCTGTCCTGTGCCTGACAGTCAGTGTTGGTAAATATAGAACTCAGGGATTGAGTAGTAATGCAAGTAAGGAGGTATTGTCCCAAAAGCAGAACATAAATTTTCAAGAGATCTTTGTTAGCTGTGTGAATAATGTTCATATCTGCAAGTTGTGATAGATGAGGATTTGTTCGAAAACACAGCAAAGATACTTATGATGCTCTTTCAGACCTTGATCACATCATCAGAGTAACTTAGCTTAGTAATTGTCTCTTTTCTTGTTAAAGGAAAACAGAAACTTTTTTTAAATACCTGAATAAGGTGTATATACCTAATAAACCTAAACAAACATGAAGTGATTCTGCATCATTTTTGCTACCATAGTTGAGTACAGAGGAGGCTTAGAATTTTTATTCAAACCATTTGAATTCAAATTATTTGCACAGTTTCCAACTGGAGAAGTATTGTTTGTGTAGTGTTAATTTATTCTTTGTTTTGCAGTCCTTAATTCTGTCTCTTAATTACAGGCATGTGTAGCTGCAGTAGTTGAGAAGACAACTGATGCTAGAAGTTACTGACTTACCCCTGGCTGAGTAATGGGTGATGTTTAGACAGTTCAGTGAAGGATCAGATGGGTTGGTTTTTTTGTTTTCATAGTTGTCTGTATTGAACAGTGAAATTAAATCTGATTGTCATGGTTTAACCACAGCCAGCAACCAAACACCACATAGCTGCTTGCTTTCTCCCCCACCAGCAGGATGGGGAAGAGAATTGGAAGGGTAAAAGCTAAAAAATCTCATGGGTCAAGATAAAGACAGTTTAATAGAGAAAGCGAAAGCTGCACACAGAAGGAAAGCAAAACAAGGAATTAATACACTGTTTCCCATGGGCAGGAGGTGTTCAGCATCTCCAGGAGAGCAGGGCCCATCACGCGTAACGGTTCCTTGGGAAGACAAACACCATCACTCCAGATGTCCCCCCTTCCTCCTTCTTCCTCCCACCTTATATACTGAGCATGATGTGCTATGGTATGGAATATCCCTTTGGTCAGTTTGGGTCACCTGTCCCAGCTGTGTCTCCTCCCAATCTCCCATGCATCCCCAACTCCCTTGCCAGTGTGGCAGCACCAAAAGCAGCAAAGGCCTTGGCTCTGTGTGAGCTCTGCTCAGCAATAGCAAAAACATCTTTGCATTATCAACTCTGTGTTCTGCACAAAACCCAAACATAGCCCCATACTAGCCACTGTGAAGAAAGTTAACTCTACTTCAGCCCAAACCAGCACACTGATAATGATGCTTTTCAGTAGATTCATACAAGAGTCGATGCCTTGTGGTCAAAGCAGTTGATTATTAAAATGTATTTAGTGTTTTGATAGCATTTATTTTGCTTTGGAAATTTGCCATAATATAGTGTAAGAACATGGTACCCAAACTAGTCAGTCAATAAAGTTATTAATTCATAAGAAAGTGTAAATAAGTTACTATAATAATGTTTAGAATCTTTGCCTAATTTTGTTAATAAGTCAGTGCTGTACCAGAATGTCTTTCTTTAGTCAATTTTTGTATGCCTATTACTGAGTAGCTTCTTAATAATTTATCATCATGATTGTATAAACTGGAAAATCAAATTTTGCTTTTTGTGCATCAGCTGGAAGGATGAATCCACAGGTTCTTTTCCAGCTCCTCTTGTTCAGCTGTTCACTGAAATATTTGTCCTTGCAGTGACTCAGTTTTTTCTCATTTTAGAAGTGTCAGATTCTTTGAAAGGAACAGATTTTTATTTTTTTTAAATTGTGATTCAGAGTTACTTTTTTTTTGTCAGCTCTTAGAAGTCTCTTGTTTTGAAATCTTGTTTAAAGGCTGTGATTAGTTTTTAGTCTTCACAACTTAGTCCTCAGTGGTAGGACTCAATTAGTTCTTAGTTCTTTTCTAGCCAGAAAAGTGGTGTCAAGAAAATACATGTTAGAATTCATTTCTATAAGTCATAGAAAAAAAAGATCAGTAAGGGAGGAGAACACAAACTAAGTACAGCACCTTCATCAGCCACTCCAGCAGATTACCTCCATGAGAATTGAGTTTTATCCAAGATCTGTCACTGGTGCTTTCTGCAGCATGACTGCATTCTTGTTGGTAAAATGTGCTTAACCATATCAAGAGCTTTCTGATTTTAAAAAAAATCCCAAAACATCTGCCAGGTGTTTTCTTTTTTAGAGCTAAATCCCATTTCTACCAGCTCAGAAACTAAGAAGTTGCAGTGGCTTAGCTAAACCTTTTAATCATAGCAGCTTTCCAAAAACTGTACAATGCAAATTAACCTACTGATGCTTATCAAATTTGCTGAATCCTTTAACTTCTACTCAGCTTTCACTTTGAAGTAGCAGGAGTGGTGGAAATACTGAATGTCTGTGATTTTCCTGGAGAGGGGGAAGCTTCCTTTCAATTATAAGAAGGTGCAGGGTAGCTGTGCCAAAATTAATTACTTCAAAATCATAGATAGGTAAGTTACAGAAAGCAGCTAAGCTGAATTGTCAGGCTTAGATACAAAAAGATATGACTTATCAGGTGCCATGGCTCTTGTTAAATAAGCATCTTACCAAGGGAGTCTTGAATGTTCAAAAAAGATAGGAGTATGCAATTTTAATAGCAAATTTCATCTAGGCATTTGACATCTTGCTTAAAATGCTGCATTAGATTGAATGAGCAGGGACCACATTAGTTGGAATAAAAATTGTTTCACTGAGAGATCTCCAAGTATGTCACCCTTAATATGTATCAACGAGTGAGGTTGTATGTTGTTTCCCAAGATTAGTTGTTTGTCTGAAGATCTGGGGTATTTTTTTAAACAGTCTAGGTGGTAATACAGAGGTTTTGCAGGTAAAGTTTAAAATCCTGGAGACTTACCATTGGAATGCTGGAATTGTGCAAATGGGGTGAGTGCTGCTGAGTTCCAGGCAAAATGCAGGAGCAGAAAATTATGTTCATATTTATCCATCAGGTGATTATAACAAAATCTAGAAAAGTTTCAAGGTGTCTATGTACTTGCATTTGTATGTATAAACATACATGCAGCTCAGTATAAAACTGTATTGGCTTTATGTAGAGACTCGAACACAAAAAAGTAGAATGTTAGTAATTCTTTATTCTGTATCCAAAACTATAAGAACTGGAAGGTGAATCAGAACAATTCTGTCTTTCATGTGCTGCAGGGTAGACCATTGAACATCCAAAACTTTGTGGGATGCTGGAATCACTGGGGCATGGAACTTAGTAATTATGATTGAAGCCTTCAGATCTCTTTTAACTGAGTTACTGTGAAATCTCTGTGGCCTGTGTTCAGAGTCAGTGGGGTTTCAGGATCATCATATTTGCATCCTGAATATTCTGTGATGCTAAATACTTGTTGGATGTTCTCATTGATTGTTGGCTGTGTACCTGCTTAATGTGTAAAGCTTCATCTTCTCGAATTTCTCAAGTGTCCTTTTGAAAATGATGCTGATACAGCTAAAGCCTAACTCAAAGCATGAACTTTAATCTTAGTAAGTGTGATAACTTTTCATTACCAAGGCCACAGGACTGCTCTCTGGGATCATCTCGGCCTGGACTTCCTGCAGGGGGTGAGGACATGAGTTCTCCAGACCCCTGGCTGAGATGTGCTGTAGTTTTGGAGACCTCAGTGCTACATAGAGGGTTTTGTCTTAGTTAGAGCATTGTGAAATGCTGCTCTCATGGTATGGGAAGCACATATCCTATGGAGTTGTCTGGATAGATGTGTGTTGCATGGTTTCCCATGACTAGGAGGACTTGGAAATGGTGACCTAATCCATCTCACTGGGGTTTTGTGGTGGTGTCTGTCAAAAGCTAGCTGCTTGTGTTATTAGAGCAGTGTGAGTCTTTGCAGTGGAGAGATTAAAACCTACCACTTGTTCCTGTTTCTGCCCTGTGTAACCTGTGGAAAGCCCTGATCTTTTGATGTACTCCGGGTGCTTCTGTAGGAGGTTGAGCTCTGACCAGTTAAATGTTTTTTAACTTGGTGGAAGTTGGGCTGTGGGGTTTGGTTCATCTATATGGATTGAATTGAAGAGCTGTCAACCTTTGCATAACAGGTGATTACAGAATCACAGAATATTCCAAGCTGGAAGGGACCCACCAGGATAATCAAGTCCAACTTTGAAGTGATGGTCTGAGTTTTCCAGGTGGTACAGTTGCTTAATGCACCAGCTCTAACATCTTCAGCTGGGACCCTGGCTGCAGTCTCAGATGTCTCTTTCCATTCCCTGCATACCAATAAGAGAAGAGAAATATATTTCTGAAAAAAAGAAATATGGCAAAATTTCAGTCAGTTTGGTGCAAAAGAAGGTGGTTTTTTTTAAGTGGGTCTTGAAGTGAATATTAAAAATATGTTTTGGCTTTTTGTCTCTGCAGAGTTTACAGATGCTTCCTCAACAGCGGAAAGCCATAGCAAAATTTAAGGAGCCAGCACATGCTTTAGCATTTCAACAGAAATTCCACAGGTAAATAATTAAGCACTGCTGCCGCCTCAGTTCCTTCCCTCCCTTCAAAAGATAAAATCAGTCTCCTCTGCTCAATTTTTCTTTAATCCAGTCAAGCATCTGTTTATTAGTGACCTTCATAGAACCTCCTTATCCATGCTCTGTCCCCAGAATTGCTTGGAGTACAGTGTTTAACTTTCTTTTAACTTTTAACAGGCACATGATAGATCTGTCCCACATCAATGTGGCCCTGATTGTTGAGTGATGTCTGCTGAGAGGAGCCCTGACACTAACTGAAGCATCCTGTGGAGCTACGTGAGACACAGTGACGTAACCACCGAGTTGTGAAACCTCTCAGCTTACTCTTTAATTGCTCTGGTGAACTACACAAAGCACCGGGATATCCTCCAGAAGAGCTGAACTTGAGAGGATCTGCAAAGGTGGAATTTCTGTTCAGTTTCTTCACATTCTGTTGTAACCACATGGAATTATAGATATTTTTTTTTTTCCAAAATGCTTTCAATGCATGTAGACACTGTTCTTCAAGATTCTACTGTGTGACCACAGTGACTTGAGAGAGAACGTTTACAGCGAAAGATTCAAAAACTTTCTTCATAGCAAAGAATATTTGATAATGGTTGCTCTTATCTTCAGTGCGAGGTATTTGAGTGAAAACTCATTTTTTCAAACAAAACACATTAGTTGCATTGTGTATCTGGGAGCACAGAAGGTATTCTTGCATAGATTTGAACGTGGTCTGCTTCACTGAATAGCAGTTTGCTGAGAAGCTTTGGAGGTGACGCCGGAAAATTGTAGTTTTGATCTTTGTAAATAAGTCTGTCTTTGAATTTTTCTATTCCAACATAGACTTCCATCTTCCCTTTCCAACTCCACTTATCCCATAAAACCCTGTGTAGGAATAACACTGCTGTATTTTCCCATGGTTTTTAAAAACAAGGATCTTCGCCCTTCAGTAGCATCGTGGGGTAGTGAACTCCAAGTTGTAACTGGGTTGTTTTAAATAACACTGCCAGATACAAGGAAAAGAAATATTTGGTGGGTCTCTTCAAAAATGTCATGCAGTAAGAGTGGTGCATTCCTCATAGTTCTTTTGAGCTAGTGTTTCATGGTTGCATTATGCTTTATTTTTGATTAGGTTTTTTTTTCCTTTGAGATTTATTTTGTGATTAATGCTGAACTATAAAAATCCCCTAACTGAAAGGACTTGTTTTGATGTGTTGTTCCCGATACA